AACAATACTCTTAATTATTTAAATACTGACCGAAGGGTATTTTACATTTAAAACAACGTATATTTTAACTAATAACAGAACAAATATACAACCGAATGGCGCGAAAAAGTGAAATTTGATTTTTTTTGCAGATACAGGGTATTAGAATTAGACCATCGATATTTGAAATTTTTAATTGCTTATCCCAACTTAAAATTTAAACATATCAGATAGTCAAAAAGTTAGCTATAACACACGTATTCAAAACACTGAAACACGCGAATTCATTTTACATTGGACGTATTTGTAGCCAATAAAATTAAATTTTTTTCTTCAACCCCTTAGCTTCAGCCTTACCCAATTTTCTTTTTTAAAGCAAAGATGTGTCGTATGTAGGGTCATTGAATAACTCGTGAAAAATGGAATCTCGCCATATCTTTTTTTGTTCTTGTACTTATGTGGTTATTGGGAAATAAGAGAATTTTTTTTAAGAACAAAAGTGTTACAAATACCTTTTTAACACTATCGACGGGTGAATAAACATAGCAAATATTGAAAACATCCTCCACCGTATACTTGGTAGGCTACTAGGCAGTGGTAAAACCTAATATCGGTAGGTTATGTTTAATTCTAAATGAGTTTTTATTAAAAACAGGCGAGTCTGGGCAGTCAGAACACCAAATTTTATTGATTTGCCATGTTTAAAACTGATAACGCAATGGAATGTATGTTTTCAGAAAAAACTGAAACATAAAATGAGTTTAAACCTTAGGAATTGTTGAGTAGTGTACAAGTTTTTGCCTTGATAAACAATTTGACTCAGTTTTTAGCAATACTGTGTACAATTGAATTGAAACGTCTTGTTTATTAATTTGTGTATCTTGAAGGTGTTCTCTTTTAATGGTATTATCAGAGAAACAGCGTATCGTAGTTTTGATATATTTGGGATGTGGGATATGAGGATAGAATTCAAAAATAGAAGTCAAAGTGAAGTGTGTACTTAATTTAATGCAAAATATCCGGAAAATCACACTTCACAGGATACTGTTAGTACCTAAGATCTTCCACAAATTTGAAAACATGGTACAGTGAAGGACTTGCCAGAAGTGGCCGACCACATGTTTTGGACGAAGATAAAAAATTGGACATTGCCTTATTTCTGCAGGAAGATCCAACGGTTTTATTGGCCCAAATTCATGCTGCGTCTAGACGAACTATTGGGAGGTTTTTGAAAACAGAAAAATACCACACATACCATACAAGGTTTATCAAAATAGGCGAGCTAATATTGAAGATCTAAAAAATAGAATTAGAGTGGAATCAACTAACATCCCGTCTGAGGCTATTTGGAATTCCATAGATGGGATTTACTATCGCCTGGAAGCCTACCAAATAGGGGGTGGAGAATATTTTCAACATCTACTACGTTAATTCACCCGTCGATAGCACTAAAAAGGTATTTTTTGTTTTTAAAATATTTTTTTTTCATTTTCCAATACCACATACGCAAAAGTAAAAAAAGTTGGTGAGATTCAATTTTTCACGAGGTTTTCAATGGCCCTACACACGACATACCTTTGCTTTTGAAAAAAAAAAAGGTGCGTAGGGTTGCAGCTAAGGGGTTAAAGAAAAAAAAATCATTTTATTGGCAACAAATACATCCAATGTAAAATCAATTCACGTGTCTTAGCATTTTTTTTAAGTTACTGGTTGCAAAGATATTTCGGAATTTTGCGCAACTCTGTGTATTAAATAATACGTGTGTAATGGGATTTTATAAATAATAATTTACCTATAAGAAAAATTATTTTGTATGTCATTTATTTAAAATTAATTTTAAATGGAAGCTGTCAGAAGTTTTTTATCAACTTAAAATTTAAATTTATTGTCACTGATTAGTTAAAAATGATCATGAAAAAACACATTTTTAAAATAGTTGTCTTCTTTATTCTAAATATTATAGTCGATAAAGCTGCAGTTAAAAAGTGTTTTTTAACGTAGCAAACACTGTAGTAGGTATTAGTTTCCACATGTAATACTAAAATGGAAATACAAAAATACTTAAAATTTATTAATTTGTAAACATAAAATTGTATTGTTAATCCAAAATCAATTTGAAGGGTAAATTTAACTTATTTTAGCTCCATGAGAATTTAATATTGTTTGAATCGCTTTCTTACCTGGTCACTTATATGGATAAAGTTATTTTTTTTTGGTGTTTCAGATATTTTAAAAACTATAAAAATGCATCACCTTAAAACTCAAATTTATAAAAATATTAAAAATAAATATTTATACATCAATTTCCTAAATTAAATCCATTCTGTTTTTTTGTGGTTACTTTTTGAGATAAGTTGAAAAGACAGCAATTTTTAAGCATTTTTTTGAAAAAAAGTCGCAGAAAAAGTCAAACAAACGAACGTATTATATATTTTTGAAAACATGCTTCAAAATACTTTCATTTGATATTACACGATGGCAACTCTACAACTGACTTCCAAGTCAAAGTATGTACGTTTTTATTTATTTATTTATTTACAAAAAGGAAAACAAGACGAGACGAGCTCAAAAATAGTTTTCACAATTATTATAAACCTAAATCCAAGTATACTAAAAGTGTTAGTGATTAATAATGATATAAAGGTATATTAAATAAGAAAGAAAAAAAAAATAAGAAATTAATACTTAATCTAAATGTAAAAGATAATTTTTTTTAAGTTATTGGTGAAAGTTATCAAAGAATCAGAGAAAATGTCAATATCAGTGAGAGTTGAGATTGAGTTGAAGGATTTGCTACATCTCTGCAAAGGAGAGTTTAGGTAGTAATTTGTGGAACTTTGATTATTATAAATATGTATTTATTTCTAGTGTTATAAGAGGGAACAATAAATTGTATTTTACTTAAGATAGCACTGGAGTCAATTTGGTTATTTACAATTTTAAAAATAAATTTGATATCTGAAAGTTGTCTCCTGTCAGATAAAAAAATAAGTTTTAAATCTCTTTTTATGGCATAGACATTTTGCAAACTATGGTAGAATTTTTTATCAACATACACTGCACATTTATTCTGTAAGTTTTGCAATTTATCTATGTAAATATCATATTGAGGGTTCCAAATTACGGTACCGAAATTAAGTAAACTCTTGACATATGCCATATACAGAGTTCGAGTAGAATCAATACTTTTAAAATCATGACAAACTCTTATAAGGAAGCCTAATGCTTTATTTGCTTTTTTAGAAATGTAATTTATATGTGTGTCAAATAAAAGTTTACTGTCGAAAAAAATTCCAAGGTCTTTTATCTCAGAGACGCGATTTAGAGTTTCATTATTGAGGTAGTACTGATTGTCTATAATATTTTTATTTCTAGTGAAAATGATCCAATGATATTTCTTTGGATTAAGAAAAAGGTTATTGTTTTGACAGAAAAAAGCCAACCTATTCAGGTCGTGTTGAATTAGTAAATAATCAAAGACACTAGTGATTTTTAGGAAAATTTTTAGATCGTCGGCATACAATAAAAATTTTGCATATTTGAAACATGATGCAATGTCATTAATGTATATTATAAATAGCAGAGGATCTAGGTGTGAACCTTGAGGTACCCCTGATGTGATAGTAGTAAGCCGAGAATGATACAAATAGAAACTGCTTGAGATCTGTTACTAATACATGATTTGAACCATCTTAGTAAATTGCCATGAATACCGACTCCAGCCAATTTTTTAAGCAAAATAGCATGATCAATCTTGTCGAAAGCTTTACGTTATTAGTTAAAGCCTAATTTGGGACACTGAATACTTCAAATTTCGATTGTATATGTCAAATAGTCTAAGTAAAATGACTGTGACAGACGGACAGACAAAGAGACACCGAGGTGATTCCATAATTGTTTCTTATTGCCAATTTGAGTATTAATGAGACAAATTACTTAAAACATTATTTGTTTTTGTTTTCAAAATTGTACAGTTTTTTCATGTTTTGACCTAAATATATCTCTTAAATTTAAATTTGATAAATGGTTTTATTACGAGAGAAAGGCTCTCTCGAGCGAGAGAAGCGCTTTCTCGTCGTGACGAGAGAATAGTTTTCTCTCGTAACCTCTAAAGTTTCTGCACAATGGAAAGAATCCTTTTTTTAAATAAAATTTTCTTTACCTTATATATTTTTCTTTATTATAATATTCCAATTAACAATCCTTCAGTAATTTAATATATTAATCTTATTTTGAAAAGAAATTATTCCAATATTTCATATTTTACAAAAATTCCCTCTGACATTTCTTATCCCCGCTGACAATCAATAAATAAATTCCAACTTTTTTCCCCGAAACATTGATTTTCATTTCTATTTTCAAAACCAAACAGAGTGTTTAATTTTTAGTTAACCAAATTACGTCATAAATCCCCCAAAATTTTGTATTTAACTAATTTATTTCCAAATAAATTATTGAATACCAAATTTTCAGATGACCAAAATTTTTCTTTTCCCCATTTTATCCAAAATATTGATACCTAACATTCCATATTCACTCATATTCTCATTCTTACAACAACAAAAATAACAATAGCAAATTAAAACAAAATTCAATTCAATTAATTTCAAATTAAAATTATTCAACTCCTTGCAACAAATAATGAAATGAAATTAAATTTAACATTTTTAACAGAATCATAATTAACAAAATGTAAAATTAAAATCTTTTTAACTCTATTTCAGAACTTTGCAATTTAATTATATAATAAAACGAAATAAAATTTAATATATTTAACAAATTTATATTTTCTTAATCTCTTTATTGCAATACCACAACATAGGAAGTCCAGTTGACATATTTCTAATAATCAATTTTTTTTTAACTAAATCTGACGTTTTTGAGTTTGTTTTGAACTACTGTTACAAAAACTTTAGGATGGATGTTATTTATATTTCCGTCAAACTTAATGCCCCCATCAATGTAGTTGGGTACTACAGTTAAACCTTCTCTTGAATTTTGTCTTAAATTTTCCTCTATTCTTAAATGTCCTCTGTTCTGTTTTGCATTTTCCTATTCATCTCCTCTATTCCCCTCCTAAAATTTGTTTCTCCTATCTCAGATCTTTTAGTACAACTTATTGATTGTTCCTCTACGATCCCGTTCAATTTTTCTATCTCCTTATCAACAATTTCTTTACAATTGAGTATGGCCTTTTCATGTACCTGTCCCTGTAACTTCATGTGCCCAATTTCCCTATTCAACATATCAGTCTGTTTAGTCACATCTATTTGAATCTCCCCTAGCAATTTTTTCTCAATATTTCCTTTTAACTCAGTAACTTTTTCTTTCACATCTTTTCCTATCTCCAACCTAATATTAACCCCTTCTTTGTCTATCTCTGCCCGTAACTTTTTATTTCGCTCCTTAACCTCTTCTCTCACCTGTGTAATCTGAATTCTAAACTCCTCATTCTATTGCCTAATTTTTTTCATTTCTGTTAAACTTTCTTTTTTTACTTCATCTATTTTCCTTTCCAAATTTTCCCTCATATCATTTATATCCCCCTTAATATTATTAATATCCCCCTTAATATCATTAATATCCCCCTTAATATCCCCTTTAATATGAGTAATATTTTCATTCATAAATATCAGCTGCTGCATAATCTCAAACATTCTTACCTGTGATGTCACCTGCAAACCCTGACTACTAATACCTTCTCTTAAAGTCATCCTACCTGTCCTACTTGCCATGTTTCCATACTAATGACACACCCTGTATTATATTTAATATTAAAATAATTTTATATGGCAAATTATTAGAAGAAAGTTCTAAAAACACTCTATATTTTGCTCGCCCTACATTGATGCGCCAATTGATATGAATATAAGAATTTAGATGTATAATTTATTTTTAATACCCAGTATAGCTAGCTCAGTAATTATATAAATTTTTTAATAGATGATAAATATTTGTATTAGAATTTTGGGTTGGGTTCTCTCACTTGTATTACTCACTATAAATAATTTAGATAATCAAAAGAAAAGAAAAATAAATAAAAAACTACTCACCTACGAAATCTCTATAACTTTTCACTTCCAAATATCAATTTACCTATTCCCTCTATGTTTGATTTAATCACACTGTATTGTAATTTAGACTAAAAAAAAAACAAAAATTAATTTAGAAATTATGTTATTTTTTATTGTCGTCTTCTTCTTCTCAGCCTTGTCTGCATTTCCCTCTCTTTACTCTCCTATTCACACTTCTATTGTTTTACCGCCTGCCTTATTTCTGCTATCTTGCCTTGCTTTCTGCTTTAATGTCCTTCTTCTACCTCTCTATTTTTGCTCCTACCGTTCTGCCTCCTGCCTTATTACTGCTCTCTCGCCTTACTAGTTTTCGTTTACTCCTTTTTACTTTCCTATCTGTATACAGATATAAGGAAAGTATAGGAATCATGATTTTTTTCGACCTCGAGTTTTCGACGGATTTTTACGTTTTGAGGTCCCCTGAATCCGTTTTGACTATTTTCGCGATGATGTCTGTGTGTGTGTGTGTGTGTGTGTGTGTGTGTGTGTGTGTGTGTGTGTGTGTGTGTGTGTGTGTGTGTGTGTGTGTGTGTGTGTGTGTGTGTGTGTGTGTGTGTGTGTGTGTGTGTGTGTGTGTGTGTGTGTGTGTGTGTGTGTGTGTGTGTGTGTGTGTGTGTGTGTGTGTGTGTGTGTGTGTGTGTGTGTGTGTGTGTGTGTGTGTGTGTGTGTGTGTGTGTGTGTGTGTGTGTGTGTGTGTGTGTGTGTGTGTGTGTGTGTGTGTGTGTGTGTGTGTGTGTGTGTGTGTGTGTGTGTGTGTGTGTGTGTGTGTGTGTGTGTGTGTGTGTGTGTGTGTGTGTGTGTGTGTGTGTGTGTGTGTGTGTGTGTGTGTGTGTGTGTGTGTGTGTGTGTGTGTGTGTGTGTGTGTGTGTGTGTGTGTGTGTGTGTGTGTGTGTGTGTGTGTGTGTGTGTGTGTGTGTGTGTGTGTGTGTGTGTGTGTGTGTGTGTGTGTGTGTGTGTGTGTGTGTGTGTGTGTGTGTGTGTGTGTGTGTGTGTGTGTGTGTGTGTGTGTGTGTGTGTGTGTGTGTGTGTGTGTGTGTGTGTGTGTGTGTGTGTGTGTGTGTGTGTGTGTGTGTGTGTGTGTGTGTGTGTGTGTGTGTGTGTGTGTGTGTGTGTCTGTGTGTCTGTGTGTGTGTGTGTGTGTGTGTGTGTGTGTGTGTGTGTGTGTGTGTCTGTATAACGCATAACTCATGAACCGATACACAGAAAAACACCAAATTTTAAGCTTAAGCTTTGTTTCAGCGTCCAATGAGTTGATTAGATTTTGGGCAGAGTCGGAACATCTGGGGGGGTACTTTATAGGTGGTCATTTTTATATTTTATAGAATATATCTGTTATTTACGTTTGGACAAGAAAATTCTTCAAATAAAAGTTACTTCTAATATAATTATCTATAATTTTCGTTTTATGCAAAATTTTCCTAAAATGGTCCGTATTCGAGAAATTTGACAAAATGTAAAAAAAAATATTTTTTATAAAAATTGTTCAAATAAAAGTTGTTTGTAATATAATTCTCTATAATTTTTGTTCTATACATAATTTCTCTAAAATGGACCGTATTCGAGATATTTGAGAAAATGTGTAAATTTCGATATTTGAAGAAAACTCAAAAACGGATAAAGAAAAAAACATTAAATTTTAAACTTAAGGTTTATTTCGGCCTGACGTGAAATGATTAGATTTTGGACAAAGTCGGAACATCTGGGGGGGTACTTTATGGGGGGCCGTTTTTATATTTTATGGAATATATCTGTTATTTATGTTTGGAGAAGAAAATTGTTCAGATAAAAATTACTTACAATATTATTATCTATAATTTTAGTTTCATACAATTTTTTTTTTAAATGGTCCGTATTCGAGAAATTTGACAAAATGTAATAAAATTCAAATTTTTAGGAAAATTGTTTAAATAAAAGTTATTTATGATATCGATCTCTATAATTTTTGTTTTTTTTATGATTTTTCTAAAATGGACCGTATTGGAAAAATTGAAGGAAAAGTGCTAAATTAAAATTTTTCAGTATTTTCGTTATCTAGAGAAAAATGTTTCGAGTTAAATGTATGTGGAAAATGTATATATTTAGTTTATCCTTTAAATATTTATAGAGGTCCTGCAATAGGTTGTACAAAATAACCGGAAAAAGCCTGTAATAACTAGATAGGAAAGTCATGTGTTGGACACATCAGATTTTTTTAAATAAAATTTTCTTTACCTTATATATTTTTCTTTATTATAATATTCCAATTAACAATCCTTCAGTAATTTAATATATTAATCTTTTTTTTGAAAAGAAATTATTCCCATATTTCATATTTTACAAAAATTCCCTCTGACATTTCTTATCCCCGCTGACAATCAATAAATAAATTCCAAAACTTCCAAATGGACTTTTCCCCGAAACATTGATTTTTTTTTTATTTTCAAAACCAAACATAGAGTGTTTAATTTTTAGTTAACTAAATTACTTCATAATATATAGGCCCATATTTGTTTTTTATGTAATTTCCTATTCAAAGCCATACCTCTGCAAGTTTCATATTAAAAATAGGTTTTATATGTTTCTAATTTTGTAGATAATACAATATTTTAATTGATTATTTTAAAACTTTGATATTTCTTGTCGTGGTCTGCAGTTTACAATATTGTCCCGATATATTAACAATGCTATTTATAGTAACCTTGTTTACCTATTGTCACCGCAGTCGGTTTTTAACTTCTGCAAGTTTTAGGAGAGTAATTAACAACCTCTATTACGAAGATATTTCAAAACCGTGTTTAGTAAAATGTATCGAACAATGACAAGCTAAAAAAGGAAACAAATCACAAGATATTACAAAAAAATTATATTTCAAATTAAATAAAACCAAACCAGTTTTCAAATTATTTTAATTATCTCTCCTACAAGCATTAATCCTGTTTTTGGCCATGTCCGTTTTTGGAAATCCAAAATACTTTGTTGATTCTCTTTATTTTTCTAGACACTGTGAAAACTGGAATTTTGTTGGTAACACCCCCTAAAATAGTAGATTATAATACCTACTATTCTCTGTTTTTAAACTATGAGGAGCGACTTTAAACGATCCATTTACACAGGGAAAAGTAACTAGATTCGTTACTAAGAGCGTGTTCCGAAATAATGTAGTGTTCAATATCTATGAAATAGTTGTCATTATTGGCCCTAGTCGACGAACAATAAGGGGTTAAGAGTGAATAAATTACATAGGAGTCGATTTTTTATTGGTCCCAAACAACGGTAGTAAATTTCACATAACTGTGATTTGAAAATTGTGTCTAAAACGATCAAATGTCAAATGTCAAATGAAATTCAATATGGCCGTTGATTTGTTGACGTTTTGATTTATCAGAAATGTTTTTTCTTGCTGTTGAAATCGACTTCTTGATAATTACTATAATCTTTTTAAAATTTTAAATTTTTAACAAAATATCCAGATGAAGGTTAGTATAAAATATAAAATATGGTCTGTTTACATTTTCAAATAATAAAACGTCTTCCCTTTCATGTAGGGCTTTTCAGAAACTGCGATGGTTGTAGAAGGACCCATAATCGTAGAAATTCAATACAATTGCTTACTGAACTGAAAGGAACTGTTATTAACGAAAAAAAGTAAAAAAACCAAGTAATAATGATGAGATATCAAAGCAATAACAAAACTAAAAATATACAATGTCAGAACTGTCAATAATTGTCAGTGATTGTTAATGCTAAAAAGTTATGTGTGAAACTGACTGCAATCTGACCAATCAGAAGTCTACAGAATCGCTTCTCCTAGTTTAAAAACAGAGTATAATAATGAATAAAAAATAATATTTCATTTATAGAATACAACAAAAATAAAACATAACCTAAATATTTTACCAATTACACTAAGAATTTTAATAAAAATGTATTGAATAATACGTATCAATAATTACATTTTATATATTTAAAACCTTTGAATTTTCTGATGTCTACTATTTCCAGTATTACAATTGCTACAAACTTACTGCAGCTTTCCATTGACTCTTTACTCTAATTTACATTTTACTTCTGGAAATTTTAAAAAGTTTAATTGTTTTTTACTAGTATTTTTATAATATATTTATACCACAGCAACTCCGGTTTGCTCATTGTATTTTTTTTTAAGTATTTAAAAAAAATTATAATTTACACGTGTCTTAAATACGCCAAAATTACAAAATATCACCATAAATTATCCGTAGCTTATGCTTCCTCTACCATGACTTTACACTGAGCGGACAAATAAATGTAATAATTATTAGTTAAATAAATGAAGTAGTAATACTGCCTCATTAACAAAATTTTGTCGAAATCTAGACAATTCATATATTTAGATAAATCCAAGTTTTTATAAAAAGTTTGTACGCCTATGTCAAGGCTCGAGAGTTATTGGAAATTCGCTGTGTTCGATACACGTGCGTGAGAGAGATAAGAGGAGATTTTTGGACATTTGACTAATATTACCTCATTAATCTGTTTCACTTTTGCTAAAAGCAACTACCTTTGCCTTTTATATGGATAACACACCTTCAGTTTACGTAAATCGGGTTAAACATTTTAGTAAA